CTGTAAACTTTCTACGGTGTGCTGAAAATCCTTGACGGAAGTGATGAAGTAGGATTGCGAGGATGGTTTCTCGGACGAGAAGGAACTTCCGATTCGAGTTGATAATGTAGGGATGGATGAAACTTCAGCTACCGAGTTATCGCCACTCTGGAGGATTCTGTGATATTTTAGTCAGTAGTTTTATGCCCTCTTCTTTGGTGGTTGGTTCTCTCTCTTTTATTAACAAGAAAACCTACACAAACCAAGCAAAATCATTCAAATCAATAGAAACCCATAAAAAAAGATACAAACATACCTCAAAAATTTCTCGGCAACGCCTCCCCGATCCGATCTACATGGTTGAAACGGTTTACTCTTGCGCGCCTTTGTGTTATGGCCAACTTGTTTACATTAACTATGCGAGCGCTTTCTTACTTAGCCATCGCATAAAGACTGAACTCAGTCGTGCATTTGCTTATCTCACTCGATCTCTTTGCAATCCTTAATTTACATATACTATTTTCGAATATTTTCAAGCATATCAGTTATCGTCGTCAGAAATAATCTAGCCCAACGTTAGAGGATAAAAGCACATCAACATCATGTCGTTAGAGAAGTTAACAATCAAAGACAAAGACGGTGTGATTGGTGGTAACACAATCACCCGCAACCGTAGCGATTGCGATTTTTGGCGATTGTAGGCGATTGAAAAAGTGATTGTTGGAATCGCAATTATCCGTAATCGCAACAAAACGTTAATATTCTAATCGCAACTAAAAGATTGTATTGCGATAGCGTTTTACTGCGTTTTGGTTAAATGATCAAAATACCACTAACATTAATTAATATATATATAGATATACATATTATATTATATCTATATATATAAACTTACGTGTGATATACATGAAATATATAAATACATTCACATACAATACATATATATACATATACACATACATACATATATAAATACATATACATATACATACACGTACAAACATATATATATACAAACAATCATATATATACATACATACATCGATCTATATACAGGTACACATACATATATATATATACACGCACACACATATATACATATACTGTGACAACCCAGAGTACCGTAGGAGGACGGGGAGTGATCGCCGGTGCAGAGGCACGGACAAGGGGCGGCTCCTGACGAGCTTCTGGGTAGGGGGTACAGGGATGAATCGAACACACCAGAATGAGAGAGATCCGAGGGCTGTATAGGTATGGGACTATACGGTCTAAGATAACATAAAAGAATTAGTTGAGCTACTCATAGTAACAAAGTGCACATACCTTTTTGGTTGACTATCCCGAGAGAACTCCAAAGTTAAGCGTGCTGACTCTGGAGCAATCTTAGGATGGGTGACCTACTGGGAAGTGTCTCGGTATGCGTGCGAGTGAGGACAAAACATGCTGGAAGGTCTCGGGTTGCTGTGTGAGGCCAGTTTCAACAATTCGTAGCGGCCTCGGGTCGTTACAGATGGTATCAGAGCCGGTACTCTCCCAGTACGGTGTGGTTCGAGGACGAACCAGGCGGAAGCTGGTGGGCCTGTGACAACCCAGAGTACCGTAGGAGGACGGGGAGTGATCGCCGGTGCAGAGGCACGGACAAGGGGCGGCTCCTGACGAGCTTCTGGGTAGGGGGTACAGGGATGAATCGAACACACCAGAATGAGAGAGATCCGAGGGCTGTATAGGTATGGGACTATACGGTCTAAGATAACATAAAAGAATTAGTTGAGCTACTCATAGCAACAAGGTGCACCTACCTTTTTGGTTGACTATCCCGAGAGAACTCCAAAGTTAAGCGTGCTGTACACATATGTATATATATACATATATATATATATATATTTATATTTATATACACATATACATACATAAATTATAAAAATTAATAATAATTTTGTTTGGTATTATGTTTGATATTGTTTGGTTTTATCAATAAATATTTTTTAATATTAAAATTATTTTTGAAAATAAATTAAATTGATAATAAAATTATATTTTAAAATTTATAAATTTAATAATTATTTGATATTAAATAATAGTAAAACACAACTAACTAAAAATATTTTAAAAATAGTTAGTATTGTATATAATAAAATGATGTCTTTTTTGTAATTTAAATCAAATCAAATCGCAATCGTTATCAACCAGTCGTTCTAAATCGCAATCACTTGCAATCGCTACCAACAATATTTTTTCTACTAGTCAGTACCAACCGTATTGAACAAACTTATCGTAAACACCCGTAATCGTTGCGATTGTGATTGCGATTCCACCAGTCAACAATCACCAAAATTCACTTACTGCAAAATTGAAAACCAATTGGCTAATATGTTCACAATGATACTATTATCACCGTAAATATTTGATGAACCGATGAATACGTTTAGTTTGAAGAGTAAATGGATTAGAAGGGAATGATATATACTGATCTATTTTATTATTAAAGAATGTCAAAATAATGAGAGCAAAATATAATGTGTATTGAATGTAATTAATTAATTTGCATATATAGAGATAAGTGTGCAAGTGTATATGAGCAATGAGATTTAAATATACAAGGAAAAATAACATTTAAATATCTAAATTTTTATGAAATAAATTATAAAATTTCTATATAAATAGCTAAACTTTAAAAAAAATTATAAATATAGTTAAACTTTTAAAAAATTTCTAAATAAATGCAAAATTCGTTAACGAAATTTATTATATTTATTTAGAAAATATCTGAATTTTGGATTTATTTGAAAATTTTCAAAAGTACAAGTATTTATATAAAATTGTTAAAAAAGTTTATATATTTATATGAAAGTTTTATTTTTTATATATTTATATACGATTTTTATAAAAGTTTAAACTATATATTTGTTCAAAGATAAGATATACGATATAAGAAAATAATCATTCTTGTTAAGAAAACCTTTTGTACACCTTTTTCTTCCTTTATTTCTTCACTTTGAATTTGGAACACATTCTCTAATGAAAGAAACTGAGTTTTCCCCCTTTCAAAGCTTAATTCGAAATCCACTTTCTTTCTTTTTTTTTATTAAAAAAATCTTATCTCTCCATCTCATGCAGCTTTTATTTGATTCAAATCACATGAACCGCCTCAGCCTCCATCGTCTTCTCCCGGAGAAATGCACCACCTCGGCCTCTGGCCAGATCCAGGTTCGGGTCGGCTCCATCGATGGCGAGATCGATCCGGGGATGCGTGTCTAACGAGAGGAGCGGGATTCCCTGCTCCTGCGTGCGTCTCGACCTCGGGATGCCGACGATGTGGGAGCTCGCCTGCCCGGTCGACGGAGAAGGCGGCGGTGGAGCCGGGTTTAATGGATTCGACCGCCTTCTCCGCCGCGAGCTTCTTCTTGGGGCCTTTGGGGTTTGGGCCGAAATGGGCCGTTTTTATCTCTATTTTTTTAATGTTTTATTAGATAATAATTAACAAAATGAAAATTTGAAATAACAAAATGCATCGTATGATTCACAAAATTGAAAATCTAGATGAACGTTTAGCAATTTGAAATTGAAATTTGAATTAACAGAGAGAAATGGGAATTTCGAAGGCTATAATATCAAGATCGCAACGGCTAATCCACACACATTGCTCTCTCTCGCTCTTCTTACATACGCATTGCGATCTCTCTCTCGCTCTCTCTTCTTCCACGCACATTGCGATCTCTCTCTCGCTCGCTCTTCTTCCTTCCTGAATTCTCTGCTCTTGTACTGTTCTTGATCTTCTGTTTTCGTGTTTGATTTCGGAGAAGAATGACAAAGCTGTCGAAGATTTTCGGTATCCGACGCAGAATTCCTGTCTTGACGGCGCGGAAGAGACGGAGCTCTTCGTCTCCTTCTCTTTCTTCTAGGGTTCCCATCCAACCACAAAACCCAGAGCCCGTCAGCTCCAACGGCCTCAAGATCCGATCAGCGTCGTACGATTCTCTCAGCACACTAACCGGTTGCATCGACACCATGAACGAAGATGTCCGACAGCTCTTCCTGTCTTCCGACAGGGATCTTCGGAAGAACCCAGATCTGCTTGACCTGGCCAACGATTTCTTCAACACAAATGCTGAATTATATGTTCTCTGTGAATCTCTGAAGAAATCTCTGGGGAAAGCTGATCTTGGAGAAACCCTAATTCTCCACATTCTCTCTGGTTTCGTGGAGGAAAAGAGAGAAGAAGGGAATTTCAGCAAAACTCTCCAGAATCTTAGGAGTTTCAAAGATTTCACCAGCGACGACCCTTTCGCCGGAGAATTCACCAAGCTGTTTAAGAGCTGTCACGCCGATCTCGTCAAGGTGATCGGAAAACTGAATCTGACGACCAAAAAGCTCAACAGGAAACTCCGGAGAATACGCCGGCGCCGGAGAGTTACGATAACGCTGTTCCTCGCGGCGGTTGCCACCGTGGTTATCTCCGCTGTCCTGGTCGGTGTAAGCAGCGTTGGGAGCCGCCGTCTCGTTCGTGCCGATGGGTTCTCTGGGTGTTTTCATTTCCACCGTATGGCTGAAATCGCGAAACGCTCTGAAACGCCAAAAGGCAGCGATTAGTTCGATGGAGCGGGGGACGGGTCTTGCGTTGAGCGAAGTCGCGAAAATCAGCGGTTTGGTGAATCAATTCGAGGACGTGATGAAATCAATGGAGGAGACGGTGGACAGCGCGGCGGCGGAGAAGAAATCGCGGTTGGAATGGGCGATGGGCAAGGTGGAGAAGGACTTGCTGACGTACAGAAACGTCATCAGCGTTTTGCGGCACGAAGGGGGGCGGTGCGACCAGGACGCGCGTTTGAGCAGAGACGTTGCTCGGGACAAGATAACCCAATACCTCTGTGAATGATTTTTTAGATTTACAAACTTATAAAAGCCAAAACTAAAAACTAAAAACCAAAAACCAAAAACTAAAACAAAAAACCCAAAATAAAAGCACTATCATTCAAAGCCTAAATGTTTTCTGGATTATCCTCGAACACCAAACATATATATAAATTATATGAAAAATGTCATTTAAGATTAAGTTTCTGACAAACAACAATAAAAGAATATATAAACTTACAAGAACCCTAGTACTTGGCCACTTTCCAAGGGACCTACCAAATCACAGAAATGAAAATACGATCACATTTAAAAAAAAAAAAAAAAAACCAGAAGTCCCGCTAGGGACCCCATCTTATTTCCATCGACGTCATTTACAAATCGCCAAAAGCAAGAAGCCGGCGATTGACAAATAATCAAAAGTGTGTAAGAGACAAAGAACTAAGAAGAGCTAAAGACACAAAGTCGGATTTTGTCTTTCTGAAACTGAGTGAGGTTTTGTTAACTTCTGTTGTTTCCTTTGTACAGTTTGTGATCCTTTTGTCAAGTGAAGTTATATACCATTACCTTTCTTCTTCTTCTTCTTCTTTACATGGAACCGGTCTGGGCTCGGCTCCTGTCTGATGCCGGATTCTCCGAGGTTTTACGAACTCCAGTTTGATGATGATGCTTCCCCTGCTGTTTCACGTGATGTTCCGACCAGTAAGCATGTGCGGCCAAGACCCGGTCGAGAAGTTCTTGAGGAACCGGCTCTCCTCTCCGTTGCTGCGGAGATATGCCCGCTGTATGGACCAGCGTCTTCCATTTGTCCTGCAGAAAAATCACGGGTTTACGGTAACGTAAGCTATGGTTATGAGCGCTAATATGATTGCATTTACTTGCAGAGGAGTCGGGAGTTTTTTTTAACCTTCAAATCTACGTATGTTCTATGATCCGCGTTCTCGAAAGCGCGCAGTTTAACGTCACGCCATCTGCATAACAAATTTTTCCGATATTTTAAGTATCTGATCCCGCCGTGACAAGTGAATATCCAAACCAGTTTTGGTGTGGTATTACCTTCCGCTCCCGAGTTCTTCAACTGCTTGTACAAGAGCTTCGACCTCTGACACAGAGAACGGTCTCCTGGTTCTTCGTTGTGTGAAATCGGCATGCTTAGGTTTCGGGTTTGCTGGGACAACCGCTAGTGCCTCAATGTCCAAAGCTGGAACTGGAACTGGAACCGGAACCAGCGCTCTTGAATCTGACTCGGATTTATCAGCTGATGGATCAGCCTGATACAGAACTATCGCGAGGTTATTCTCCGCACCATTTCCCAAATTCATCATGTCATCTGCAACTCCGAGGGAACAAGGAATTGCAGAATCTGACATGGGAGAAGCCGCAGACCTGGGAAGATCATAAGAAGCACTTATGCTTAGGAAATCCTGAAGAGTTACAGAAGAAAACGCTACCGGTAAAAACTGGCAGTACCTTTCCGACAAATTCATTGAATCAGACGGCATAGAAATAAGAGGATCTTCTGAGCAAAAAGGCGTGGACACTTTAACTTGACCAGGCTCCAAGGAGAACCCGAGGTTCCCGGTGTTTTCTTCGCACGAGATGCCAGTCTGTGATAGAGTTTTGCTGTCATCTCTAACCTTCTTCCCTTGAACAAGTACCCCGATGCGTATTCCATCACCGAGTAAAGCAGTCACAGCCTCCAACACCATCCTCTATAATCCAAATGTATAAAGATCATGACTAAGTTGTGGAGAAATGCCAAATGTCTATTGCTCCCAGAACCAAGTAATAAGAACGATTGACGGAAAAAAGACGGTGGCAATGTACCTTTAGTGAGCCAACAGTTGCAGTTTCCGGGACTTCGATAAAAAGCTCCGGAATCCTAAAGGACTTGATACTGAATTTTACTGCACAAAAGAGATTACTCGATATATGAGGAACACGTTCTCTCGCATAACAAGATAAATATCTCTCTGGCTTATCAAATGATTAGTAATTACCTGAATCTCCTTTCTCGGGCGAATTGGAAACGCTTTCACTACTGAGTCCTCCATCGGAAGTCACGACTGAGCCTCTGTGAGATGATCGTCTTTTCTTATCGCGCTGCCATGCATTGTAGCCATAACACGATTTTCTTTTGCGGTTCAAAGCCTTTAGACCATCTGCACATCCACAATCAGTGTTAGAGCAAAGTGTAAAAAACAAAGAATGAATTTCCTCAAAGACCAGATTCATGAGAAACTCTGATGCTAACCAGCTCTTGTGTGTGCAAAGTCCTTCAACTTGGGAACAGCTGTCCAGTGCTTGGATGAAGTTAACTTCCTTATTCTTCGACCCCCAATACGTGCTGGAGGCCTACACGAAGGCAGCGATTAGTTCGATGGAGCGGGGGACGGGTCTTGCGTTGAGCGAAGTCGCGAAAATCAGCGGTTTGGTGAATCAATTCGAGGACGTGATGAAATCAATGGAGGAGACGGTGGACAGCGCGGCGGCGGAGAAGAAATCGCGGTTGGAATGGGCGATGGGTGCTATCTAACATAGTATGATTCCCATGTCTTGCAAAAGAACCATTACGGGCTGGTTCCTTTCCAGATGGCACTCGTAATTCGGGTGTATCCTTCGAGTGGCAAGTACCAGCTATTGTTAAACATCCATATCCCAATCCATTGATTGCTTCTCCTTGTTCTTCAAACCCAGTTTTCAGGAAAACACCACCTGTCTCTCCAATTACGCCTCCGAATTTGCTAGAGAAGTCGCAATCCTTGTTCTTGTTTTCACACCCTAGGGGCTTCAAATCATGAACACTATCATAATGGGACACTGAAGTTCGCTCCAAAATGCCATCGTCCTCGCAAAACGAAAACTTGTTTGGCAGACACTTCTCGCTAGTGGTTTTGTCTGTAGACTTCGAGTTGGAGTTTCCCCAGTCAGGAAGCTCGGATTTCAAAGGCTTATATTCATCCACTTGTTCTCGTTTAATCTCTTTGCCCGGGTCATTGTGAGTGCCCCCTTCGAACGCATTAGTAGACGCTGATGAACTTTCGCATTCTTGCAGTAATTTTCCAGCCAAAGCAAGCAAATCGATCGCACAAATCCGATCATCATCATCATCAGTGTTCTTTCTTGAGATCTTCCTCTGAAACAACAACCGCATTCATGAGAAAACAATTCATCCATCGAGACAACTGATCCAAACGTTCGCATGATAATTTACCCGGCACGAACGTGGAGCCTTTGGAATGTTTGGGAAATCAAAACCATCGGCCACGCAATCTAATCTTCTCTTGAACACCATGTCTCAGACAGGACATAAACTGCAAAACAGCCAACGCATACATTAACCACAAGGTCATCATCAATAGCAAAAATTAAGCACCAGTCAAATATTAATTTGAAGGGTCTGTTCCAAGAACCAAGGAATGTCTGGAAAAGGGAAAGCGGGCATGTACATGTACCTCCACGCACGTCTAGGAACCCAAAACCATGTAAAGAAATGGAAATTTCACATGATGGATAACGATCTGGATAATGGTCAACCCCAAATCTCATCTACAGTTTTTTTTTCCATATTTTTTTAATCTTTTCAAGGATATTCTCCATAAAATTTATCAAATTTTCAGATCTAAGAACTCAGGTGAAGATCATTGAACGCAAATGAAAAAACAAAAGTATTTCAGTTTTAAGATCAGATCAAAGACCAAACCCAGAACGAATCAGAGAGGACAAAACATGCAGAGACTGCTGAAACGAGAAACATATGATGAAAATATAAAAGTAGAGATCAATCAACAACTCAACGAGGAAAGAAGACAACAAAGAGAGAGAGAGAGAGAGAGAGAGAGAGAGAGATCTAACAATTCAGAACCCAAATGCTAGCTTTTACTTAGATTCCCAATTGAAACTTCGGCAATTCATCGGAAAACGACCAGCAATCTGGTTTCTGTCGTCAGATCTCGATAAGACTTGCAATTCCACCGAACCCGCCAAACAAATTATTCGAAATTTTCAATTTCAACATCAAAAACAGAAATTACAACAAAAAAAATGAACAATTGCGATCAATTCAAAACTCACCTAACAGCAACCAATTCTCGGCCACGACCTTCTCCAGTTGCGATCAGATCACGCAATAGAGACCAGATTCAACAATTACTCTACAACAAAATTTACAAGCGATCCACAAATAAATCGAAATTCACAGATTTTCAGAAGAAAAACTCAATCACTCCCTCTAAATTATTTTTTTCTCTTTTTCCGTTTTATCCGTTGATCTCTCTCTCTCTCTCTCTCGGAATAGAAATTCTGAAGAAGACACAAAACCCCTTACACACAGAAACCACGTAAATCGAACTACGCTTAAACCCCTTATATTCTAAAAAAATTACGGTTTTTTATTTTTTTTTAAATCAATAAAGACCACACAACCGGATTAGCCTGTAACACGTACCATTTTACCGGCTATGGCCGGTCACCTCCTAAACCTCTCCGACTAATTCTTAACCCCTAAATTCAAAAAGAAGATAGGTTTCGCCACGTGGAGGATCCCCTCAGTACACGAAACCTCCCCTCTCTTTTTTTGCCATTATCAGAAAATTTTAAATTCTCGGGATTGGATACAGAAAACATTAAAAATAAAATTCCTGAGAATATACGAGGAAATTATCTGGCGTGGATCGCCTCATTTATGTTCGGTGCATGCTTCTTTCTTATTGGTCCACGTTGGCATTCTGTACTTCGTGGACTAACCTCGGATAATTATTGTCTCGTCGTTCAGTGTTTCTTTTATATAGATTTAGATGTTTCAAAAGAATCTAAAATCTGAAAACGCTTTTTAGTTTTTACTGAAAAAAAAATCGTTTCTGTAAAAAAAAAAAATTATAACTATGAAATCTACAATGAAATTATTTTTTAGATAGGCTTCCCGGTAAAAATCCGATGGTTTTGATCTATCAATTGCGGATAAGATTAAAATATAATCCCAAAAAGGACTCGAGATATATAGTAAAATTAGTATATGAAATATGGCCCCAAATGATAACAATCTCAAAATTGGTTGTGTATCCACAAACTGATAAGCCCGATAAAATATAGAAGCGTGTCATAAAAAAAATCAAAATTTTAATTTGTATTAAATTAATAAATGAAGTTTAATTTTAAAATAGTAACCCATCAGGTATAATAAATTTTAAAATATAATTATTAAATTTTGCGATTCTAGGGAATTGACATATGATACTAAATGAAACTGGTATTTGTTTGGATATAGTATCTATGAAATTTGGAATGTATGTTATCTCTCAATCGTAGAATTTTAAAAATTTATCACTATAATAAAAAAAATTATATAATTTTTTGTATTGTTGAAATTAATTTTCTATATTATTCTGATGTAAAACAACGAATGGGGATTTTTGCGGAAATTTACTCAAAATATAAAAACTATATATTTTTTCTTTTACAATTAACGAAATATATTAATAGAACGACTTGTAATTTTCACATGGAATGAGGTATATTCATCAGGCTCACACATTAGTTGTATACACTTCATCATTTGTCCATATGTGTGTGTGTGTATATATCTCGATCAGTAAACTTAATTAGACAAATAGGCGCATATTCACACACACACACACACATATATAGATATATATATTAATTTATTATGATAATTGTATTAATTGATGGCTATTACATTTTAGTATCAAACTTGGAAATAAATTAAAGTTAATACACAAATTTTTTTCAATGTATAATTAGCTTTGATGAAATCAAAACTCAACGTTTCGAATATCGTTCTAATGCATCATTATTATTATTATTTGATAATCCGAAAATTTACCGGATCTTTTAATCTAGCTACATTTTTCTGCAGGTGAATGTTCTTCTCCACATTTAGATTTGAAACTATTGTAAAAACATACTTTGCATGTTTTCTTGTCACTACACCACCCAAATTTGAGTGTGCAAATGCATTATTATTCCCAAAAGAGCCAAAAACTTCATTTTATTGAGACACTATCCATATGCTAAGATAATAAAATATTAAAACAAAAATTTTAGGGTATAAGAACGATTTATTTCATTTTATTTGATTGTGCATGAGATCCAACCACCCAACAAATATCTAATTTTGATTTAGTTTGAAAATCGGTTGGTCTATAATTAACATGGAAAAATAAACAAATAATATTATATAAAATAAAACAAAATTTCACATGGTTGATAGTCACATCACGTTTCTCAAACCTTGTTATATATTTATTACTCCAATAATATTGGATTTAATATCCATGGATTTATGTTATATAGTTATACACGCGTTTAAGACAAATCCGCACTAATAATTGCTTCTGCTGATCCTCGAAAACTTTAATATTAGCATGTAAATTATTTAAGTTGACTAAAAATATCTACTCTTCGACACATCAATGATATATATTTAAAATACTTATATTGGAATGATGGTCCATGTTTATGATCCACCAGAGTAGAATATATATATATATATACACACTATTTATTAATATGATATAATTTCAAAATAAATCTTCAAGTTAAATGATTTAAAACTACTTATCCAATTGTTCTTTGCAATTATTTTAGTGATAATATTACTTAAACGAGGCATACGTAAAAAAAAGGTTGGTGGTTGTCGCATAGACTCAAATATTTACAACTTTTTTAGGTTTCTGTTTTTATTGAGGTTTAATTTTTTAAAATATAAAAAATATTTACTTTTAAATTTTATTTAATTTTTTCATTTTTTTCATATTAAAATTGACTTAATTTTAATTTCATAAATTATATTTATATTTTTTTCAATCTGTCTGGATTTGATTTTGTATATCTAAAACTAATTTTCAGTATTAAGACTCTTTAACATCAAAATGTCATTTAAAATTTTAAAAGAAATTTCGAGTACAAAAGAATAAATAAATATTTTCTATAATATTTTATATTTCAATATATAAATCAGATATAAAGTAAAATAATTTATTTAGCTTTATAAACAGATTAATAATCTATTTAATTTGTTAGATAATATTTGAATATTTAAGATTTAATTAAAATTTGATAGAAAAAAACATATTTGTTTACAAAATAAGATAGTCATTGATGTGAGATATCAATTTGTTTCTTTTATAGTTGGTGTTTTGGTTTATGGATTCGTACCACAAAATGTGTTTATACATACACATATACACATACAAATGTGTGTATATATAAAGATGCACGAGTGCCTCTCAACTGGTTCGATGGCTTCAAGCAGTCTCTCTCTCTCTCTCTCTCTCTCTCTCTCTCGGAGAATGGTCTTACCTGCTACTCCGGTTCGCCGGGTGTCGAACCACTCGTCGTGCTACAATCATAATAAGGACACGTGTCTGTTTCGTTTCCGGTCAACTTTGGCGGATCCAGTTAGTATATTCGTGTTGGCTTCCACCTTATACGTGTAACTATAAAATGATTTTTTAAATGTTACAAACCATTTTTCACATTTGGCGGTTTTGGTCAGACCATAATAAGTTAACAATAAAATTATTGTTAATTCCAATAAGTTCATTCATTATTCAATACACATTTCTCTATTATTAATTAGATAATTATTAATTAGCATTATCTATATATATTTAGCTTTATAGTACGTTTTGTTGCTAAACGTAAATTATAATATTGAAACAAATTAAAATCATGATAATCCAATTTATTCAAACGTTTTATTAATTAGGGGAGGTTTGAATTTCTGGTCTTTCTTTTAATGCAAGGGGCATTAATTATGTAATAAATCTCATTATAATTAAATTGACCCATCTTGCCACATGAATTAAATAATCTTTAATCATATATTCTTGCGGTTGAACCAAAGGTAGAAGAAGAGTTTTTAAAAAAAAAAAAAAAGATGTCCCTTGATTTAATTATATGATAAATTTGAATACTATCAGCTTATCATTAATTACACTATCATTAACTTCATTTTGCCTTAGAGTGCCTTAATTAGGCAAAATCACGTGTCAATTTGCTAAAATCTTACTATAATAAAAAAAAATCGAAGCACTCGGACGTTAATTCGGTGATGATTTCCATCATCGGATGTTAACGCGGTTAATCGGATTAATGTTTGTGCGTAAAAATATCAATATTTGACTAATTAATTTATCTTTTTTAAAATTTTAATATATATATATATATTATATTATATTAATAAATTGATATATTTATATAGAAACTTTCATATATGTATGCTGTCTCTTGGCTTAACTCTCACATTCCTCGATATAGGGTTATATTTTGAAAAATATAAATTTTATGATGCCGAACGGGTAAGTATATATTTTTCAGTGATGATTTCAATTTTTTTTTAATAATCCGAAAATTTATATCATTTTCGGTCCAACTATATAAGAAAAGTCTAAGTGAATTTCTCTTCCCTGATCGAAATCCAAATTTAGATTAGAAAAAAGTTAATCCTTTGATCAGTGAACATGATCTCGGGTGATATGATTTCAACTTGGTTACAAGTTTATATTTTTTTGTTTGGTTTGTTGGATTTTATACGTCAAAATCAAAATGGTATTACGGTTGATGTTTATTCAGTGATGTATCGACCGATGTTGTGATAACTAATCATATACTATAATATAATGATTAAGGTTATGGTAAATTAATGATAGTTTTAGTTTTGATAATTGAAATTAAAATCACAGTCTGTCATTAGCAGTGTACGTATGAGACATGTGACGACTTTGAGGTTACAGCGCAATATAAGTATCGAATTTAGGTTATTATTATTATTATTATTAATTGAAGTATCAAATTGTTTAAAATTTGAAATATTTTCTGACAT